TATTCTCTGAAATGTTATCTTTATTGAGGGTGACTTGAAAAAGTTAATAACTTGGAAGGGAGGGGTGCAACCTGCCACACGCCTCTACCTCTTGGTTGCTTTGATCCATTGCCGAAAATATTTTGGCCCCTTTCATCCCCCCCAACCACGGATACAAATCGACACCCCTGGAGAAAGGGGTGGTTGAGGGAGGGAAGGGTGAATTTTAAGAAAAGAAATACAGGAGAAAGATAACTAAAAGAGAGAGAAATAGGTGGTTGAGGGAGGGAAGGTTGAATTTAAACAAAAGAAGTATATAGCGGAAATATAAGAGAAAGATTACTAGAAGAGAGAGCTTGAGATTACTCAACCCTAAACGAAGACGGTGTCCTCTAAAATGACATCCGTGCAGGCGAATATATACTCCTTTATATATATATATATATATATTAAGAGCCAGGGACTGAATATTTGGTTCTTTTCATGATATAACAGTCCATTATTTGCTCAGATGCTCGCCAATGTTCTATATTAGTGCCGAGGACTTTTCTTCTCATTGTCGCTCTGTCTACATCCTCTGGCGAACTATATTCTCCCACGCTCCCTATTTTAACTTCTTTGAAACTGACATTAATAACCAAAAATAGTATTGCACTGTCACAAACCCGCCCTTATATAATTTTGCAAGTTGCAACCAAAATGAGTCTTAATTGTAATCAATATGCCATCTATAACTTTGAACGTCACTATTACGTCATTCTTTACTCTCAATATAGCTTGGGCATTTGGTAACCAAGAGCGATGGGTATTTCTAGAGTAATAAGAATCGACCTCAAATCAAAATGAAAGAAGCGGTCCTTTCTTTGATGGTGAATAAAAAGCGCCAAAGAGGAAATCGAATCGCATTCTGCTCAATGCAGCTATTTTTACACACAGATGAGGAAACGATGCATTGATTGTGGATGTGAATCGCCTCTGGATCGAAAACTCAGTGGAGCAATCATTCCAGACAATGAACTTAAATAAGAAAAGTCATATCATGATATCTTTTGAAATGTTTCTAGAAACTTTCGTGCCTGGAGGGGCGTCAGTCCACTTTCCGGAAGACAGGAGAAGAAGAAGATTGGAAGGATGTGCTATAAAGCACATTTGAACTTGCCGTTATTATAGGGGGTGCACAATATTGTCCCCACCCCTATATTCACCTCTGTAACACTATATCAACTTACAGTTTCTTACAATTTGCAGGCCAAACAATGAAAAGGTTAAGTTCCAACGGCATTTGAAAGATAATACTAATTTAGAACTTCCCTAAAAACAAAAGGGCTTGAAAAAGTCCTTTTTGTGGGAAAGTAACGACCGTTATTATTTTGTCGATTCGATTTAGCGAGGGCGCTCGTTTAATTAAATATTCTGATTTTAAGACCCTGGTATACCGAATGGTCGTACGATTTGTGCTGCGCAAAGATTCAATCAATTTAATTTTGTCCTTTACAAGAAGTAGGTTATTAATGTAGACAATGCTCATGTACCCTTTACAGCTCATAATATATATGTTGTTACCTAAGAAAAAGAAGAAGTCAGTCAGTCACTCAATATAGTGTCTGACAGTGAAGTCTAGAAAGTATACGGGTTCCCTTGCATATTTTAGGACACTGCTAACGTTTAAATTTCGCAGATAGGACACACGTGACATATCCATAATTCCTGCAAAGTTCTACAGAATGATGTTGGCTGCAAAAGGAATATACAAGGCATTCGTTTCAATAACTGTTGACGCACAGGGCTATTCACATTCGATTGTTTAACACTCTTTGCGAGGGCGTTGTTTGCTCACAAGATCATGCTTCAAGATCCATATATTTTATGGAAGCAGTAGAGAAGAAAATACAGGTATTTGAAATTGCTATTGGAAGTAGTGATATAACGGTCACGAGGTAGGCGTGAGTGTTTCCATGGTGGGAAAATATAAGCAATAAAAATGTCAGAAGTAAAAATCTCCGGAATTATTAATGTAAGATGTAATAACGTCAGAGGTACAACGCCAAAGGTTCAAATGGAATTCATTCCATGAAATTACAGTGTAAAGTTAACATTTTATCTCTGACATTTTATATCGGATATTATACCACCTCTGATATTTGTAACTCTGACGTTCACTTTGTACTGGGCACGCGCATGGGTAAGCCTATAATATTAATATCTATAGGAAATAGTGAAAAAGGGATTTGCACTTTTATAGGGTTATCTCATAATAACCAACTGACAAAATTGTACATTCACATAATTATCTCGGGGTAGCTCCATATAAACCTTATGGTTGATGGAAGAATTATAAAGAATTTGTTTGCGCATTTTTATTCTTTTCCACATTCTCTCCTTCCTGACTGTCGATTCGTTAAGCAACCGGCGGATCCGGGACATCCAGGGGTCACCCCCCCCCCCCTCCCCAACCCCCCCAACCCCCCCCCAAAAAAAAAAAAAAAAAATGTATATATATATCGCTGACAGATTAATATGATTACACGTTATAATTGATACTGAAAATGTGTTAAATCTCGTAACTAATTTTATTGTATTCGTTTATCAACTGTAATAGATTTGCAGTATTTATTCTACATTGATTGTGTTTTACATTTTTAACTGTAAATAGTTGTTATGTATTTTTAGGGCCCGTGGAAGACCAACTTTTATTGAATGGGCTACCTTGGGTAAATAATAAGAAATAAATAATACAATAAGGGGGAAATAATCGCGTAGTTGTGCTTCGGCAGCCATTTTAGCCAAATATGACAAAAGCCCCACAAAACTTTGCTTACTTGTCAGAGAATTTAGGGTTAAATAAAGAATTATCTAAACTGTGATGACGACGTAGTACGTACACCAGTACAAGGCCTCCACTGTCTGCGTATAGTCAAAGATATGATAAATTATATCAATGCACATTAATTTAATTCAATTTGAAATGGACAAAACAACTTTATATACAATGAGAATTATAAAGTCTTCCTAGCAAACTTCAGACATCTTAGGAGTCAAATAAGACCTCCATTCTTTTGGAGATGAATTTTCTCGAAATCAATAAAATTCACTCCAATGTAGCGGATGAATTTCTCTTTTTGAGAGCAGATTCCACAATTTTGAGCGTGGATTACTTTCATACTCTGATATAATAAATAATGATAATATAAACCAAGTGGCCTCTAATAATATATCTCTCTGCCCCTCAAAAAAAAGTGATTTCCACCGTGTATATACAGTTAGAGGGACAGTGACTGAATACCTGAGTTTTTAAAATCATAATCATACAATTAACAACGGGCGGGGCTGAAGTTATCAATGAATCGACACCAACATAAATTACCTTGATAGTAATTTTAGGTCATCAAAGGGCACTAGAAATGTGATAGATAAGAATAAGAGCAATAACCATGCATTTTGAAGGCAATTGCGGTCTGAAAACAGAATTCAACTATCCCTTTAATACACCGACTATAAGCTGTCATTTTCCTCAGAACTGACTAAGTCACATCGGAGTTAGATCTAAATTGAAACTGATAAAATCGATTTTATTTAGTGGCAAAGCTAATTGGGCCTCGGTATAATTTTTGTAAATTTTGCACTTGTCAGAAATTTTACTTATGGATCTTATGCTCTCCATTGTAAAAAATCCTTTGACAATTTAATATTGCATCCCAGGGAAACCATCATTGATCTATCATTATTATGGATCTATCTTATTTCTTAAACCATATACAATTGTTTTAGACAGTGAAAGACAAGAAAATGTATAAGAGAATCGGAGAGATATCGGAATAATTCGAAACCAATCCAAACCGCAAACAAAAATGCGTGCAAATAAAGAATCATACTCTAAAATAAAATATCTGTCTTGTGATGGCGCCAGATCATTCAGCGATACGGACAGACCGAAGATATATATATATATATATATTTTTTTTTTTGGGGGGGGGGCTGGAATACTTTCACCGCCTAGTGGAGATGAGTAAATAAATAAATAACTGAAAGAATAATTACATGTTAATAGATAAATAAATTATTACAAAAATAGAAAATGCACGAATCACAATTTGACGAAATTTATACATGGAAGATCGGGATGAGCAAAAAATGGATGCATATTGCATAATGATGATGATTGAACAATAATTATTATATGGAAGGTGATTATGTTTCAAGACTAAATTGAATGAAAAATGTATGGGTTGATGAATAAATTTTGAAATAAATGGGGATCCCGATCAACAACATCATAAAGTTGCAAGTTTCACTTTTTGTTTGTACTCAGCTCAGCCTCAGCTGGGCTCAGTACTAGGAACATTATTTTTGTTGGGGGGGGGGGGGGGGGGGTTGGAGCATTCCCTTTGATTGAATAATTATGAAACACTCCTGATAATAACCTTAAGTGAGAAAAAAAAATCATAAATGATCGATAAATGAAATAAGAAGTAAGAACAACAGGCGCGGATCTACGGGGGGTTTAGGGGGTTCAACCCCCCCCCCCCCAAAAAAAAAAGAAAGAAAAAAAGAAAGAAAAAAGAACGCACGCTGGAGAGAAACCCTTTCAAGTGCAAATATTGTGAGAAGATATTCAACTCATCTGGTAACTTAACCAAACACATGATAAAAAGGCTGGATATAACTGTGTATTAAGCTGTTACTTGATTTAAAAAGACGTTATCATGCACTGCTTTTTATGGTCTCCATTGTGTTAATAGATGCCAGGAAAACATCACTTACGGGGTTCAAATAAACACCCAAAAAAAAATCGGCTCGCCGCTACGCGGCTCGTGGACGATGCTCTGCATCGTCATTATTTTGGTCAACCCCCCCCCCCTTAGCAAAAAGCTAGATCCGCCCCTGAACAATACTAACAGTCAAAACTCTTTTTCGGAGTATTTAGGAGGAAAATAATCCAAGATCCAAGCACAAAAAATTCTCACACGGCCTACCGTAGTACATTGTTTGCATGTGTGGCTTACCATATGACCTGTAAATAAATTCGAAGTTGAGGGACGCCGCGACGGTGTTGTAAATTGAATATATTTTACTCAATCTATCTTAACCCTTTATCGACCATGGCATATCCAGGTTTTGTTGAAAATATAGCTTCATCTCTTGTTCGGGAGTATTTAAGCCGAAAGGTAAGTTTTATTTGAGTAGTCTTATAAGAAGTTTTAGAGCGAATTTTCTGTCATGTCGCGATCGCGCACAGGCACAGCAGCACATTCTGCACTGCTCCGCTGCAGCTCACTAGCGCTGGTTGCTAAGCTAAGCCTACCGGCCAATGGAGCAACGGGGACGCTACCCGTGGCCTAGCCGTGGTGATATGACAATATCAAATTTTGATGTCATGTCGGATTGGCGTGCGCTACAAGTTGAACTGAAAAAGACGTCACAAGAACAACGAAAACTTAATTCCCGCAAGAGGGTACCGTTTACAAGTTATTTATCAAAAAAAGCAATCCACCAAAGTCCAAACTCAAAAGAAGATAATTTATTGCATGAATCTGATGTTGTGATGATTGAAATTTGAAATGATGAATGGATGGCAAAATTATCATACAATTCATAGACCTCTAGATCATGATATATTATTAGGTCTAGATCTAGTTCATTACAGTTTGTAGATCTAACTCAGTTGGTGTCACTTGCACTTTTTAATCACAATTTTGATGATATTTTCTCTCAAATAAAGATTGCCAGACAATGGCCTTGTCGCGTTGGTAAGTTGATATTTCTTCGGAATGGACGTAAAACGCTGCAACATTTTACTTTTGTTAATAATAATAGTGTACTTCAGTATTTCTAACCAGATATCAATTCTCATAGCCATACAATAAAAAAAGCACTGGCAACATATTGGCTAGGAAAGGAAATAAGAAGAAGAAGGAGGAGGAGGAAAGGAAGAAACTGAAGTTGAAGATGAGTAAGATCTTGAAGAGGAATTTTGGGATGAAGAGGAGAGGGAGCAAGAAAAAAAGAGCAACTAAGTCAAAGAGAAGAAGTTAATATAAAACAAAGGAGAATTAAAGAGGAGAAGAAGGACTCAAGGAGGTTGAAAACTAGAGGGTCTAATAATGCTTTGACTCTTTAATTTCAAACATTTTTTCCTTCCAATTTACAGATTTTGTATTTTTCTTTAAAAGACTGTCATTTAAACTCTTTGTTTCACTTCTCCACCATGCAGGAGTGCAAGAATGCATTGAAAGTAATGGACTCTGAGATGCCAAGGACAGAGGGGAGTATTGGTAACAGATCTCAACTTGCTAAAGAGGTACACATTGAGAAAATCATGAGGAAAAATAAGGTAAGCATTATCCTAAGCCGTTCCAAGTCTTGCATCCCCATTGTCAACATTATGCACAGCACAATGCCCTCCTGAAATAGAACAATCTAATACTCACACATGTAAGACATGCCTGTTTATGCACTCATAACTTTATCAGGCTACTGCATAAAATCACAAATTGAAGTAGGAAAGCATGAACTGGTCTTAAAATCCTTTTAAGCATGGATTTTACTCACACTGGACTTGGCATATTTAAATGTAAATTGACAAGTGCTTTATCCACACACCATTTCTACACTCATGGCACTCCTTGCAGTTACTCGCATCACCTACCATCCCAGTATAGCTTCCTGAGTGAGCTGCCAAAGGGATTACCCGACCAAGTACAACTGGTAATCTTCCTACAGATCTTTGTGATAGGCTTCATAATCATAGGCCCTTTAAATATTAACAGAAGAAGGAGAAGAAGATCATCTTGCTATTTATAAAACTGAAAGTAAAGAATCTTGATTACATTTGTGTTGTGTTTATCAAATTGTACATGAGATAATTTAACCAGTTCCCACAGGATCCTGTCAGATATATTATTGCCTGTAAATCAAAATGTATTTCTTCTTGTCAAGTATTTATTGTCTGTAGATAAAAAAAAATATATCCTTTCTGCCTGCAGGATGCCACCGAGCCTTATCGATCCATGATTGAAGTCATTGTAAAGTTTCTGATAGAGAGAGGGTCAAACAGTAAGGACAACAGTGAGCGTATCCCTGAGCAGCGATCCTCCACGGATCTAAGCTCACCAGAGAAGAAGAGCTCACCGGAGAAGAGGAGCTCACAATCATCATCACGGGGGAAACAGAAGGAGAAGTCTGAACAGAAACAGCAGAGAGTGAAATCTCCCAAAGCCAAGAACACTAGTCCTACTGGTAAGCAAGATTATTATCTCAAATGTTAATCAAATAATTGTTGTGAACTTTTAACCAAGGTTCTTGCCTTTTTGTAAATATTATGTTATATAATTCCTTATCTCTTTATTAAGAGTAAAATAGCAAAGCTCTGTATGTATTCACCAAACCTGTCGACTAAAATGGTCTTGGTGTATAAAAGTGATTTCAGCAGCATCCAGTGTTATCATTATCACTGTTATCACCGATGTCACTGATATATCACTCCTATTCCATATTGTGCAGAATTCACGGGTCTACCTCAGTCAGATGTCAGTCAAGGGTCATTGGGTCGAGAACCCACGATGGTGATCACAATGAAAGACCGACCCAACGTGAAGCCAACCGACCTCCAGCTTGCCAAAGATCTCCAGACCAGTACTTCACAGAAATCTGCTGGTTCCGATGAGAGCAGAAGCAGGTTGATCTCACCTTCCTCCTCTTCCTCCTCCTCCTCGTCTTTGACAAGGAAGATGGACGACTCTGGAAAGAAGTCCTCTTCTCGGCCGGGCAGTGCTTCTAAGAGTAGAGGATTGTCAGGTCCAATTACAAGTAGTCTTGATGTGAGTCAATATCAGTGGACCATTCACTTTATTTATGATGAAAGATTTGAAGGTGGTGGTGGTGGTTATTTTACCTGACTGCTAAGAAAGCATAAATGCTTGTAAGTGAGCAACCAGACGGCCGACGGCTTCAGGTCCTCTCCAAGGGACCTGGTAATGAGGATTAATGCCTTACCAAAGGTCACTAGCGCATCGACTTGGTTTCGAACCCGGTTCATCGGATTACAAAACACTGCTCTACCAACTGAGCTATGGCGCCTCCTCAAAGGAGTCTTGATTATACACTTCAGTTTTAAGTTTAATCTCCATCTAAACTGTGTGCAGTATAATTTTACAGAACCAAGTTTTACAAATCAGACAATCAGTATTAAAGTGGTATTGCATGTGATGACTGTTTATTGACTATTTTGTGTGTCCTGTCCTGATGATCTTGGGACTGTATGTGGCCCATGGGTAGTTCTATTGGCATGCTACTTTTCTTAGAAACAAATGCTCTTCAGTAATTCACTTCACTAATAAACTGAATTCCTAACTTCAACTCTGGTCCCAACACTACACCCAACGCTAACACTTGACCTGACCTAAAACTTAATTGCTACCCTACCCTAATCCTATACTTTTGATCACATAAAGCCTTGACCTATTGTTGCCAAAGCAAATGATGATCACCTTGAGATCACATAGGTGCCATAATTGCAACCAAGTTTCCCAGAGTAATCAATATTTTGAGGGTCACCGTCAGTGAGATAAAGACGTAACTCCATTTTGGCCATCTTTAGAAAAAGTCTTTTGTGTGTCACTTAGCACTTGGGCCTTAAGGAGTTAAGTCTATATTTAACTAGCCATTGTCTTGAATGGGGTTGTTAGGTGGAGTTAAGTCTTTGTGTTTCCTGGAAAGCCCACATTCTTCTGAACATTTTGATATCAAATAATCATTTTGGCAAAATATGGAGTTTAAGGCTGTGCACAACAGTGTAATGAGGTACCCGAGTACACTCCCAGGCTCACAAGCGAATACTCGAATATTCGGACGCCATGTTTTTTTATAATTTTTTTGAATTTTTTTGAATTTTTTTGATTTTTTTAGATTTTTTTTGAATTTTTTGATTTTTTGATGTTTTTGATTTTTTTTCTTTTTTTGCCACTACCATACCACTCGGCAGTTTCCCAGGTCCCTCGCCGAAAACGCATGCAATTTTACTTTGAGTTGCAGTTGAAGGCGCCGATTTAATAAGAATAATAACAGTAAACAATGCTGTTTTAAAAACCAAAGATGGCAGAATAATCCATTTTCCTCCAAGTCCAAACAGAAATCTGGACATTTGGTCCAAGTTTCTGAAAGGTGAGTTTGACAGTGCTTGAGTTGGAAAACATGTTTACCGAAGGTACCATGCCAGCGGTCGCCGCTCTCCCAGGCACAGGTAAGCGTGGGCCTGGACATTTTTTTTTTTTTTTTTTTTTTTTTTAATTTTTTTTTTTTTGCGGCCGAATATTCCGGTACGAGCAATCGTACCCGAGTAGTTGTCAACCGTGCGGGTACTCGAGCATTCGACTACCCGTCGCAGCCTTAATGGAGTTACGTCTTTGTGTCACTGAACCCTCGATTTGTACAATATCTTTAATTCATTTCAGGCTGGTGAGAGAAGAAGAGGCCATAAGAGTTCAAAGACACCTGCACTCTCCCTGACAGCAACAAGTAAGTCTGCGACCTTTGAACCTGAAGTATCCTCCTCGGGTTTCGACCTTTCACCCCCCAAGAAGACGACGTCATCTTCGAGTCGTGGCCTGCTCAAGAACTTTGGCTTTGACCTCTCACCAGAGAACACGTTAGGGTCAATGGAGGCTCCTGGTCAGGCTTCGCAGGGAACGTCTCAAGGGTCAGGAAACGAAAAGACCAACGGACATCCATCTTCGTTGTCATCGTCATCAACAAAACCTGATAGGTCTTCAAGGCACAGAAGATCGTTTGATGATAACTCAGATGTCAGTAGACCTGGAAGCAGATCGGGAGGTAGCTCTAGGTAGGTGCATAAGTAACGGTAATAATAATGATGGCTTCTTAAACGGCACACAGAGACCAGTACGGTTAAATCATATTTAGTACGATAATAAGAGTGAAATACGACCTTAAAATCTTAAAGTTTGATTTTCATCTTTTTTTTCAACAAAACAAAACAAGAAAAAAACAAAAAACAAACATAATAACAAAGGAATCACATAGAAACATGTACAAGTAAACCCCCAACAAAAACTTTGCTTTACAATTTTCTCATTAAATTTCAATGAAAGAGCAAACCTTGTGCTGAAATTTTACTGGCCCGGGGCCGATGGGCCAGTGGTAGTGTCGAGTTTGCGTGAAAATCTGATTTTTTAGGATACTCGGTTTGTTTTTATGTGTCAAGAGGTTGGCATCTCCGTTATGCCATAATGTTCCTTGTCCTCCAGCGATATCACCATGGTCATAGCTGGGGCCAAATATGTAGCACTTGGGCATATTCGGTACCAAGTACACTTAGATGGAAAGTATGGATTAGTGTCTTATCAGAACATTTTGGTTTAGAGCTGTCTGCTAATGTCCTTTGCCGCTAGGATAAACTGTGGATTTCATTTTCAAATAATACAAGCACCTTACTCGCACGGAACCCCAGTCGGACTCGGGTTCCGTGCGAGCCCTATTCAATGCAAGTACGTACGCGAGCGTTAACTATTCTACTCAACAAGAGATGTTTTACTGTTAATTGAGAATGTAATGAAAATTGCAATATCTCTTTTTAAGAAGTAATTTTTGAAGCTCCTATTTTTAATACAGTGTAGCCACATGGAACCCTTTACATCAAGAGCAAAACATGTTTTGGTGTACACCTTAAGGATTATAATCTAACTGTGCACTTCCGTTCTCCCCTTGATTTTCATTACAGAAAAGGGCCATCTTTGGATACGCCATCAGTGAGCGGTCAGAAGAAAGAGGTATCCACGCTGGGAGACCTAGAGATGGGGGATGTAGATGAGCTTGAAGATGAGCTCGGAGGCATCCAACTTGGGACCTACACACCAAGCAGCAAGAAACCCATCGATTGCAGGGCAATCACTCTACAACTAGCAATGGTAAGACTCAAAGAATAATAATCCGTTCTTGTACCTTGTAGAAAGAATCCTGATGGCAGCTTATCATACAGTTAAACTGGGATGTCCATGCAACGTGCAGGCAAAGTGACAGTGCATGAAATAATTCAAAACAGTGAATAATGTCTACTATTTACAATATATTGTATAGCAACACGTTATGATGTAACGTCCCTATGTGCTTTCAAAGAGCCTTGGAAATTATTAGCCTAACTTTAGCTCTGGCAGCTGGTATCGGTGCACAGTGCATTTCAAGGAATAATCCTACTAGGTACCCACTTACCTCACCTGGGTGGAGTGTGGCAAATGTATATTAAAGTCTTGCCAAAAGACGTTAGTGTCGTTGCAGGGATTCAAACCTGTAACTTCTAGTGTAATAACTTCCAAAGAACAGAGACAGTGTGTTCCATATGACAGGTAGGATGTATGCTTTGAACTGAAGCAGAATATATGTTCTTATCATCATCTTTTATTTATACAGCAATTAAAGACTCTTCTGTTTGGTCAAGGGACTGGATGCTTTAATGATGAGTGGAGATTACAGGGACTATGTTTCAATGAATTATCTGACATCTCATATGGAATAGTGCAACACAAGGTAATATACTGATCTTGATATTAAAAAATAATAATGCATTACTGTTAGATAAACTATGTCATTTTTACATTTTGTGCATGTTATGACATCAAGCATTTACAGCATTGCTAAGCTCTGGCAAATGTAAATATAATTGTAATAATTGGTTCAACAGAATTAATGAAAATAGTTGGAAAACACTTGCTATCTATTCAAAACATGTGTTGTTTTATTGTAAATTACATGTATAATATGATACAAGGAGGAACCAACTTCTAGAACATAATATTAAGATTTTTAAATATTACTAATGGTCATGAATAACCTTACAAACACCATTGCGCATTAATTAAGAATGGGATTTTATATGTAATGACTGAGTTTATTATAATAATTTTTTTTTAAAAGGGTGGTCCATGTGGTCTGCTAGCTTCAGTTCAGGCATGCATGCTACAGAGACTGCTCTTTAGTGAAGGTAGCACCCCAATGACTGCTGCCAATTTGAAGCAGCTACCAGAAAAGACGAGAGTCAAATGTCTGGTTCAGGCCATCTGTGATATAGTGTGGAGAGCAGGACAGAAGAGGAATGCCGTCATTGCTTTGTAAGTTTATTTATTTTGATTCTTGAATTCAGTAAAATATTTGTATCATGCAACAGAGTAGCTGGAGGCATTATGTTTTCGGGTTGTCTGTACGTCCCGTTTTCCTAAATCGCAAGAACTGATTGACGGATTACCATCAAACTCAAGACATGTAGTATGTATCTTGCTGAGCCAATGAACTGATTAGATTTTAGGGGTCACAAGGTCAAAGGTCAGATTTCACAGGGCTCATTATGTATGCAAAAATAGCTCATGATCACATTATCAGTAGAACTGATTGTATCAAGCCAATGAACTGATTAGATTTTAGGGTCATGAGGTCAAAGACCAAAGGGTCATACATGTAGGTATATGGAAAATAGCTTGTAATCATGATATTATGAGAACCTGTTGATGGATTACAATCAAACTTGAATTTTAAAAATTGCTTCTGTTTGGTTTGTAAAACTGCTCTATGCACAGTCGAAGATCCATCTAGTTTTAATTTCATCTTCAATTTGTATTTTTGTGCCTTTGCTTATCATTTAAACAAATTTAAAATTGATTGATTAATTCATGCACACAATATAATTTCTTCTCTTTTAGACCAGCTATTAAACCTCATTTTCCAGGCGGAGGGCGGTATAAGAATGATGGGCTCACAGAAATGGTAGGTCAATGAAACATTTCTACTCTCATCATGGCTGAAATATGTCTATTTTGTGATGTTATACACGATGGGAAGTGCATATCATTGAAGACCAACTTACGTGTAGCCTGTCACCAAATTTCCTACTAGCATGTTTGTGTGTGTTTATTTGATTTTGTGTTTGGAGAGATGTATCAGTCAAATCTTGACATTAAATTCTGGGAGTGACCATTACCGTCACCACACAATGGTCATTATTCAGGACTGTACCTTGACTCTTGTATAGATATATACAGTCATGTCTAGACCACAGAATTGACCACTAGACAAACACTACCGTAATCTTCAAATAAAAAGAAATTGTTGAAAAATAGATCCGTAGATATACAACGGAATACAACCTATTAGATATGTTCATGTTGAAGCTTGATATGTTCATGTGGTTGCCTTTTGATTAAGTTTACTTGAATCTGTTTGAATGTGAAGACATCTATATATTTGTATACCAAATTGAATAAAATATCATGGCTGTGTTCACACTGAATCTTAAGTATATGTTTTTGCCTTGTGTTTCAGATTAACTTGAATCTGTTCCAGTCTAGAGATGAGCTTGCAGACTTTGTCCAGGGAAACATTGGTACATACACAGATAGCAGGGGAAGAGGGTGTATTCTCCTTCTCTACTCCACCCTCTTCTCCAGAACCATTGACATGTAAGTACAGTCAAACCTGCTTAAAGCCTATCTGCACTAGTTTGGCCAGGAGGGATTAGACCTCCCTGCGTTGTCACTGGCAGGTGGTTATCTCATAAAATCAGCTCTCAATTAACATAAGAAAAAGGGGACCATGGAGGATTAACGGGTACCGCTAAGGCATTGTTGGCGCAAGTAGCTACAAGTAGTGCAGTCCTGCTTTAAAGCTAACCTTGAGCTCTGGTATAGGCATTGTATGTCGAGAGAACATGGCTATAATTCATTCTGGATTGTTTATCCTGCAGTAGATTGATTGTTTGAACCAGTAAAATAAAAACAACCTCACAGAAACTTGCTGGATATCATCTTGAATAAAAAAACACAACTCTTATTTGCACATAGTGACCTGTGTTAAGCACACGTTGTCAGGCCTACTTACCTTGATTTCCTTATCTTTCTATACTCGTTTCTAAGGCCCTATATATTTTTTACCAAAATCGTTTGGCAGATGTTATTTATTTGTAATCTTGAACATTCGGTGTAAATTTTGTTGGATTCTGTGAGAATTTATTTTCTATCATTACCAGAACTCAAGCTTATCTTTAAGTGACCTGTACATAAAGACAACCTGCTCATAAAGACCGCTTTGTTGCCTCCTTGAGTGGTCATTATAAACAGGTTGCACTGTATATAGCATTTTTTATTCACAGGGTTTTTACATGGAGATTGAAATTAGGGCCCTGTTTCATAAAAGATGTTAGCAGTGACAAGTTTAATTTATAGTAACTGATGTAAGCTAGTGTATTCCTTGGATTTGATTGGCTGTAAGCATGAGGCATACAATTTGGCACTGGTTATTAAAAACAATTTTCATGAAACACAGCCCGAATGCCCCTGATGTAAATACTTCAAATGTGTCTGAATCATGAGACCTCAAATCAGTTAGGATATTTTTACTCATTTTAAGAAGGTTGCAAAAGTGGTGTAATTGCTCATATATCTGTTTTGGAATGTATTGAAATGCTAATTAATTTACCTTGATGGTTTTAAACTGTAATAATCAATGTTCAATAGAAATATTGATGTTAATTTACAATCAGAATCATGTTCCTCTAATAATAAAATATCTCTAAAATCATAGAGAACAACAACAAGAACAAAACATTAAAATGTGGAATAACAGGATATGTGAAAGTCTCCACATATACACACACAACCAGTGCGTTTATCTTCATCACCTTGAAGTAGCATTTACACCGGAAGAAGAGATCGTTAAATTTCACACTTTTATATTTTGGGATAAAATTTAAGTGCAGTAGTTTGTTTGGAATTTACCTGATGATATTAAAAAGAATACTTCTCATGTGATATTTGGAAGAGCATAATAAGGATTTGGTAGGTTTTGTTTGCATCACCTACATCATTTATATTAAAAAAAAAACTGAACAAATATACATACAGTAGGCTTACGATTGCACCCTGTGAGAGAGAGCAAGGGGAGGATTTGAGAGTCCTGAAAAGGATTGTCTGTAATCTTTCTTTCTTGAGTGCATGTGTAGTCCTGAAAAAGACTTTTGGGAGTCTTGATATTGATATATTTCCTCCTTTTTTCTTCTTTCTTTAGGGTAATGGAAGACATGGACAATATTGAGAACACATTACTTGGAGCTCATGGATACTGTACGCAGGTAAGTGAGAAATATTTAGAAACTTTGGTAAAATTTTGCGACAAACTTGAACATCAACCCCAATGATAATGTCTAATATTCATCCCAGCAAAATCAGTGTATCCTACTATATTTAGAATAATTTCAGTTTTATTAAACATGTATTCAAACTTGAGGCTTACCGGTAATACTTGTTGCAATGCTCTAATTATGTTATGTCTATGAATTGCTGGTATCAATAAATTACTCTAGATAACCACCTGAATACAATGATTGTGGCATAAGTGCTACTTACATGTAAGGGCTACTTAAGTGCACATTAAGATCATTTCCGCCACCAAGGTCCTTGTCAGTTAATTGAACAGCTGTCTTACATAACATCGGTCCCAATTGAAAATGTCTGATTAAATTGGCTACATGTCATTCTCCCATTTTTTGTTGGCGTTTTGTTCAGTTTATGTGCCTCTTTACACCATCACTCGTTTGCCGCACATGCAATTTTGCACAAAACTATAGGCACCAATTGATGGAAGGATTGCTTTGTGCAACACAATCAAAGCGTTGCAAAATCATCCATTTCCAGTCGTGATTAGCTCCATTACAATTGCGCTGGGAATAATAACAAATAATATTTGAGCCTTTGGTTATCTATCTCTTGATGAGGAAAATGTGTCATACAGAGACTTTTTGCCATTGCTATCATTATTTGCATTGTTTTTACGAAGGTTCGCTGTTCCAAAGGTCTGTGATTCCGATAAATCAAATAGGGTTTGTGATTCACAAGAACCATAATTCTTGAAAAGTACAAGAACCCTATTTCAATTGCGGAATTATGAACAGTGAGAATAATGAACCCCGTATCATTTTAAAGTTATGAACCTTTAGAATGACTTATTAATAAAACATGACATTACCTGACAGCCCTACCTGACATCTTGAAAATCTTATGTAACATGATTTACTATGCAGTAGGAAAACTGTCATCAATTTCTTTCTTTTCCTTCTTGTTTTGGTTATCTTTTACAGGAAATCTGATAGTGACTGGTAAAGCTATGTCCAAAGTCTTTCTTTCTTTTTTTTTATCATCTTTTACAGGAGATGGTCAACCTGATAGTGACCGGTAAAGCGATGTCCAATGTCTTCAATGATACGATAGAGCTAGGTACGGGAAGGGACATTACGAGGCTAAAGGGGTTGAGTGGTCGCTCAGATATCGGATTTCTCTCTCTCTTTGAACACTACAAGTCATGTCAGGTATGTACCCATAGATAATGCATAGTAATTAATTAGATAATGCACAGTACAGTCAAACCTGCTTTAGTGACCACATTTTTTGTTTCCCTTGAAAATTGTTTCTCATTGAAACATGTACTAAAGGAACCTGTCTACAAAGACCATTTTTGTGTTTCCTTTGGTTAGTCGCTAACCATGACTGTAGCATGCAATCATTAGTTCTGTCATTCACAAATCTACATCTGCTTTCTCTATCAACGTTCCAATTTAAAACTATTTGGCCATTGTTGTTTTCAATCTAAATAAACTGTGTCAACAAAACTAATGATATTCTCGGACCGGGCAAAGGCATCAAACCATGTGACGTAAACATAGTTGTCTGTAATATGTACATGTATAAATAAATGATGGTAGTACGCTTTTTCTTCATGAAATACTTTTTTTTTTAAGGTTAACCAAATGCCCTAAAATGGTGATCAATACTTCAGTAAAAAACCTAAATTGAGATTTATGAAGAGTACGAATTTACAAATAATAAACGAAAAAGAAACAAAAAAGTGAAAGGTGTAAATATTCTCAAAAAGAATGAAACGCCGATAATACTAAAAAAACAACTAACTACCGGTACTTGTCAATAAACTATAGGTCCTAATATGGAAGTAACACCATGAGGATGGACATTTCTGCATTGGAAGTGTGTCATGCGTGGTTGTAAGTTTCATTTTAATGAAATCCTTTTTTTTCTTGAAATTCCTTTTGGGTTGCACAAGGTTAGTGGCTCTGTATATTGTGGAGACAATAATATTTTTAAATTGTTAAATCAATTTATTTTTATTCTTTTAAATATTTATTTTTTATTAAAAAAAACAATCATTTTAGGTTGGAACTTACTACAAGACGCCTCGGTTCCCTATCTGGGTTGTGTGCAGTGAGAGCCATTTCAGTGTCCTGTTCTCTCTCAAGAAGGAGCTGATTGGTGACTGGAGGATGGAGAGACACTTTGATCTCTATTACTATGATGGACTTGCCAAGCAACAAGAGGAGATTAGACTCACAGTCGGTAGGTTTTCTTCCAAGTTGCTATTCAGTGCGTCCCAGTAAAAACGAAACTGAGAATTATCAATATTTTATCATATTTTAATCACAATTATAATTAATAAATGACACATATTTGTAAAGCTTAGATCATCCTCTTTGATTTGATGCAACTCATATGATGCATATTTCACGCATGAGTGGTTAAAAACGATTTGAAGAAAGGGTACCAAAAAGTCATGTGGTGAACGGTATTTGATTTCAAAGAGAAAATCACGTTTCCAGAAAGTGCATTTTCTGCCCTTTCATACGACACCTCAATCAACAAAAATGTGCAAGGAATAACAAAGCTCTGTTTGTTAAAAGTAATGCTTGCATTTTCATAATTTTATTAAAATTCTTGGATTCATTTTTTCTGGGATGCACTGTATATTTGTTGTCAGGCAGAAAAGCACAAACGGATTCAATAACGTTGGATGGACATTATAAGAAATGAAAAGTTAATCTTGCTTGACTACATCCATGTAATCTTATGCACTCTGTACATGGTTTGAATTGTTTACAGTGATATACACAAATAAAATATGATAAATGTATTATACTTGTTACTATTCCTTTATCGTTTTATTACAAAACATAAACAAACAGATAAACATGTGTTTGCGCCCTTCTGCTGTGCACATAAACCCATATATTCTCTTATTTCATGTAGTAATTACTTCTTTACTTCTTCAAAACACATCTTAAAACATACTTCTACAAGCCATAACCTTTGTCCTACCTAGCAACAAATAATGTACGCAATTTGCATTCTGACTTTTTAAATACAATTATTTGTAACAGATAAATGAAATGAAGTGTAGTGTAGTGGTTGTTATTTTACATGACTGCTATTAAAGACAGCATAAATGCTTGTAAGTAAGCGACCAGAGGACCGACCACTTTAGGTCCTCTCTGAGAGACCTATTGTAGTAATGAGGATTAATGCCTTACCAAAGGGCACTAGCGCATCGCCTTGGTAACTAAGTACTTCGCAAAGATTTGTGCATTAAATTTGATTTGTTGTTTAAATATTGTAAAGCTCATTGTTATTTTCTCTGATGATGAAATGCGCTATAGAAGCATAGGTTATTATTATTATTATTATTATTACATTATGAAGATGGTCTATTGGTATTGTTGACTAATGTTCCTGTGATATTGGGTGCTTTGAGAGAGATGTAATGTCCCTAAAGGGGTGGAGCCTAATTCCATTTGATTAACACATTTTAATATATGTCTATGGTGCTAATACAGATGGTTATTGATCTTTGGTATTGATCAATGTTCCTGTGATATTGGGTGCTTTGAGAGAGGTGTAATGTCCCTAAAGGGGTAGAGCCTAATTTGAGGGGTCAGTGACACAAAGTCCTAACTCTATTTTGGCCATTCTTAGAAAAAAAATGGTTTATGTGTCACTGAGCACTTGGGCCTTGAGGAGTTAAGTCTATGTTTCAATAGCCATTGACTTCGATGGGATGTTGGGTGGAGTTAAGTCTTTGTGTTTCCTGGAAAGCCAACATTTTTCTAAACATTTTGTTATCAAATACTCATTTTGGCAAAATATGGAGTTACGTCTTTGAGTCACTGAACCCTCAAATTCCATTTGTTTAAAACATCTGTGAGTGCTACCCTCTGTCCAGGAGTTTAATATATCTATGGTGCTAATACAGATGGTTATTGATCTTCTTCTTTGTAGACACTACTCAGACATGTCCTCCTGCAGATGGTGATGATCTAATACCCCCACTGGAACACTGCATCAGAACAAAGTAAGTCAATAAAATCAAGCTGATCAAGATGGAACCAGTTCAGGGCCCCGTCTTATATTAAAGGCCAGCTGTACTAGTGTAAAGGAGGGATTAGACCACCCTGCAAGGTCACTGGACAGGTGGTTATCTCATCAACTCAGCTCTCAAATAACATAGGAAAAAGAGGATCATGGGGGACCAATGGTCACCAATAAGGCATTGTTTGTTATATAGAGGGCGCAAGTAGCTACAAGTAGTGCAGTGTGGCTTTAAAGAGTTGATTTTAATAGCAACTTATTTGCTTTGCGATTGCTTTCAGTCACAACTATGTACATAGAGATAGAAGACTGCAAACTTAAATACGATTGATTGGAGGACTTGCGATTGATGAATGGATTGTAATGAATTATTGGAAGTGGATTGGTTTGGGTTGGATTGAATTGAAATGAACTGAAAGGATTTGAATTTGAAGTTGGAAGTTGAAGTTGAAGTTGAAGTTGAGTTGGAATGGATTGAATTGAAATGAATTGAAATTTAATTTTGATTTTAAGTTCAATTTCGATATGAATTTGAAGTTGAAGTTGAGTTGCAATTGGATTGGATTGAAATGAATTGAAATTCAATTTTGACTTTTATGTCAATTTCAATATGAATTTCGATATGAATTGAAATGGAATCGGAAATGGAATGGGAATTGACCATATTTTAACTATCTTTGTAGATGGCCAGAAGCTGTAGTTAATTGGAATGGATCGGAACCCATCTTATGATCATCTTCAAGTCCTGGTCTTCTGGAGTCTTCATCCGGATAGTCTCGACTCAGAGCTGAAAATCTAACAGATATAGTGCCACCTTTTTGGGGACACTGAGAAGGGACGACTGAGGATAAATGGCTCCTGTCCTTCAAAGTGATACTAAACTGATGAAGTTTTCCGCCCTAGGGTACTGTTTATTGCACAGCACCGTCTTACGGTCAACTTGCCAACAGTGGGAAGCCTAATACCTCAATTCCACTTCGCAGACAGAGGACTCGATGCGAGAACCAACAGCGCAGCTAAGGACGCAGCGAGTTGCGGGACCATACTGCTACAGCGGTAGTGCTTTTATTACAACATATGTTTAAAGAAAGAACCCCATCCTCTTTATGAAGATAGTGTAGTTTAATAGCACAGGCAGAGAATAATATGTTTGTTATGAGAATTGAAGACTCCTTGAACCATAAGATTCTTGTGGGAAATTCCACCATCTACAATATCCCTGCTGGAGAAATCACTAGTCCAGAGGTTTGGTTTCATGAGTGACAGCCACAGGTATTATGGAAAACATCCAGTTTGCCGGCACGGACTCTAATTTGACAACTTAAACACAATGCAATAAAATCTTGAGCAGAACCTACTATGTCAGTCTCTGCCTGTGTCAGCTGGAAGCAGCTACATGTATATAGGACATAGCCTATGGGGTACAGTAGACTGTGCAGTCAGCATGGTCTTACAGTTTGGACACTTGTACAGCTGACAAGGTTTTATGCCTTCAAAACTATCAATTATCTGTTACTTGGAAGGAAGTTTCTCAGAGAAAAGTTTTTCTCCGACACCAAACTGAAAGTTCTCCAATTCCTGGTAGCCCATGTTTGGAATAGTCCTGAATGGGATGATAATGTCCCAGTAATTTATTATTCTTTCAAAGTGCAAAGATAATTTGCATTTAATAGATGCAGTAAAACAAGAGAAACAGAGCAAAACAAATTTGAGTAAAATCAGATAACTAATATGGAAGTTATGAATTTTTGAAAAAGTATGGAACAATGGAAATCCTTACACAAATTGGCAATTTGGTTATCAGTTTCTGACGTCAAGTCCTCACTATATATCAATTGCTAGATATATTTCAATCCCATTAATTTATCTTTTTATCCCCCAAAACTTGATTTCCCCATGCCTTTGCCCAGGTTAAATGATTTGTATGATATTGCGTGCATGACATTTCACAAAATCTTTTATTAAGTTTGAAGAATTGATACTATTTTTTAAAAATTGTATATTCATAATTGTTGATTTTTATTTAAATAGTTTATCAAATTTCAAATTTTTCATGATTTAACTGACACAAAAATTATTCTGTATTTGTGCACCCACACAAAAACAAATTACTATAAATAAAACGTGGATGCTGGTGTGAAGAAATAAGATTTTTAGGGGGGAAATGGGAAATTTGTATTATCAATATAAAGAAAACAATTAGTGGACAGTGAGGCAATGATGTCACAGACTCATGAGGGAGTTGCTAATTTGTCTTGTGATTTTTTCAGAGTTTTTCATGTCATTAAGAATTCATAACTGTCTTATTACTTTTCAAATTTTGCTCAAACTGTTTTTGATTGGTTTGTCTGATTTTTCTGCTTCTATTGAAGGTAAGTTATTTTTGGAGTAGACGTGCCCTTTAATTGTGAAATCTGCTGTGAAACTTTGCTCATAGAAAGAGAAAGACTGCCTGTAAATAAAGTATCCATAATTTGTTGGAAATAGCATTCGGTAATGATACAGAATTATATAATTATAATATTAATTATATCAATTATATAAATTTTGCTCGAAAATGTTAGATATTCCTTTAAGTGCTTTTGACTGAAGTTTTTGTTTAAATTGATGCAATTATACCTTGTTATGCAAAGCTAGTCTCTTTCATGTTCTATGGTAATGAATTTCTAAGGTAATATGCAAGATGATGTTGGTTCTAGACTTCTAGTAGCAAAATGTAAATTTATGTGGTAGTGGTACTATGAAGTTAAACTCATTGCATTTAGTATTATGTTCATCCTTTAATACTCCACATCTGGAGAAAATCTTTAGAGCAGCTTGTAATTGCCAGTATCTTGCTATTTTTTAACTAACATTAGAGAGAACCTAGCTTGCAATCCTTTTTGGGGGGAGGGGGAATACTGACCAAACCTAAACGGGGGCTATCATGGGGCAAAAAAAGAAAGCTTGTTTATTCCAAATAAGATGAAATTAGTGGAGGAGGAGGAGGAGGAGGAGGAGGAGGAGGAGGAGGAGGAGGAGGAGGAGGAGGAGGAGGAGGAGGAGGAGGAGAAGAAGAAGAAGAAGAAGAAGAAGAAGAAGAAGAAGAAGAAGAAGAAGAAGAAGAAGAAGAAGAAGAAGAAGAAGAAGAAGAAGAAGAAGAAGAAGAAGAAGAAGAAGAAGAAGAAGAAAGAAGAAGAAGAAGAAGAAGAAGAAGAAGAAGAAGAAGAAGAAGAAGAAGAAGAAGAAGAAGAAGAAGAAAAAGAGAGAGAGAGAGAGAGGGGGGGGGGGGGGGGGGGGGGGGAGGAGGAGGAGAAGGAAGAGGAAGAAGAGGAGGGAGAGAGGAAGAGGAAGAAGAAGGGTCAAATGGGAATTGGTCAAATGTCATTGAATATATGGGAGGAGTCACACTGATGGCATATCACATTCTTGTTTATATTCTGTTGGTAATCAGTTCTAAATGTCTCTGAAATACATTTGTGTAAGAAGGTACTTCTTACACAATTTTTAACTACTTGAGGTAAATGTACTGTCTTAATCTCACTCAAATTGAATGAATTTAAATGTTCTGCTTTCAATTTGTAAATCGTTTATAAAATTATTTTCAAAACCAAAAATTGTTTGGTATAATGCTTTTTTTAAAGAAAAAAATGTAATCAAAAGTTTTAATATAAACTATCTTTGAGTGAGCAATATATTTTATTCCAGTTGAAATCCAGAGAATATGTGCCAATTGATATTTCTTTTTACCACAAGTGATTCTTAAAGCATGGAGAGAGCAATATTCATTACCATCGACTTATTACAGAATGTGTAAATTATTAATTACAAATGAATGTACCTTGATATGTAAGGAGAGTGTATTATTTATTGTAATATCAAAAAAAAGTATTGAAATTACAGTACAGTTAACGTTTCTCTGCTTGTTTACAACTAGTTACAAGAGTTTCCTGCATAATAAAAATGAAAACACTTTGACAAAATTCGGCTGACTTTGCTTTTGTTTCTGTAGGCTGTCTTAATTGGCTTATCTGAAGGCTACCTTACATAGACAAACAATCATGTATTTGTACTGTACGTTTAATGTACCGTAAATGATGACTTGTCTGAAGAAAGATGTGATGAAGGGATTAGTTTATTATTAATTTGGCAATGCCTGTATAGTTTAATTACCCCAAAATAGAACATATTGTTCTTGGGATTCGGAAATTTGAAGTGCAACATGAAAGAGATATATCAGTGCCACTACTTGAAACCCTTTCCTTTGAAAAATACCATTGATAATATGGATCTTAATTGAATGAGTGTCTGTTTGTAATGGATATTGGGCTACTGAATTTGGGAAAAACCTTGCCTTATCATCATCGTCAACATTGTTTTTCTTATTAGTAGTAGTAGAACCGTAGAAGTATAGGTTTTCTGTCCAACTTCATAAAATTAGCATCCAAATCAACTTAAACAATATTTGCTCCCTAGCTCTCACCCTTGCTAAATGCCATGGAAGTATATGTATCCACTTCTTGGCCCCTACCTTAATTGCTAGATCGGCTTGATTGGGTTTCCAGCCAGTTGATATATTCGAGGGAGCGTATAGCTATACCAAGGGAGAATTTCTTTATTTAAAAATGCTTTTAAGTTTTTATTTTAGAGCACTTGTAATATGCAAAATAAAGACATGCATTTTCCTTCTTCTTGTGAGGGGGCCCTTGGGGGTAGGGGGTCAAGTATTAGTTTTGCCCCCCCCCCCTCCCATGATTTTTGTGAAGGGGCTCTTAGGGGGTTAGTATATAGGGGCAAAGTTCAGTTTTTTACCCCCTCCCGACTTATTATGTCTCTGCATGAGGGCCTGACTATTTTTAGGCACGATTTCTATTGCATGTATTATTAGTCCAGCTTCTGCACGTTTTTGTATATATTTTTATTTTCTCAGCTGATTAGGCGCGCGACACCGAAACGGTCTACAGGCTGGACTAGATTTCTATGGTAAGCTCGGGCCCCGGTCGAGTGGGCGTGCTTCGCTCCCCAAACCCTAGGCGCGCGCTGCCAGGCCAGCCGACCTGCCGCGTATATATAGTACAAGTACATGTGTAAGTCATTCCATTTGACTTGGAGCGTGTTGGAGCGTGTAGAACCATATCATTTGAAGTTGGTTCGGCTAAAGGACACCGGACATGGCGGCCGTCAAAGGGAATACGAGGGGATTCATATGGAATTTCTGCTTTGGATTATTCTTCGGATGTTGTATAACTTACCTCACAGTGAAATTTTCAAGACTGAACGAGTTTAGATCTTCTTCTCATATGCAAAAGTTTGATTCAGACTCAAACAACGGGGCCGGGGAAGCGCTGCGGCAGCCCGATGGACATGTTATTGTTGACGACACGAACCGAGTGTTAGAAAGCGAACTGAAACATTTTCAAGATTCTCACCATCATAATTTTGTGGGTAAGACTAACACGAGAGTGATATGACGGAAGACGTGCTCTGGAATAACTAAGCCATTAGAATCTTTGATTTCTTAAAGATTGAATCATTGAATGACTTGTTTTGTTTATTTAGCTTTAAAGGTAAAGACCAGTTCTGCCTTCTGGTCATGCGATTGTATAGACCGAAAGCTTCAGTCTCTATAATCGTCGGTTGTTCCACTGAGACTACGTCTGGCTCCACTAGACCTCCGGTTATACGTCTGGCTCCACTAGACCTCCGGTTATAACCGGAGGTCTAGTGGAGCCAGACGTAGTCTCAGTGGAACAACCGACGATTATAGAGACTGAAGCTTTCGGTCTAGCGATTGTATTGAACTGTCAAAGAAACGTTGTGGAATCGATCAGAAAAGGTTGATCACCTGGCCCCCCCCCCCTCCCACTCCGGGGTCGTCGGGACCGCATGCGTGTTCCCAAAATGTCCGGTAAAGGGATACTTTTCACACACCAATGTCTGGCTCATGGTACACAAAAATCCGGCCCGTAATCCGTATTGACTTTACACACAAGCCTTTTCGGCGCTAGTGTAGCAAGGTATCCAAAATATAGCCTACTAAAACAGACCCCAAATTTCAGACTCCTCTTCT